ATTACCAAAAAGAATAAGCAGCAAGAAGCTATGGGAACAAACCAACAAGCGAGAGCCAATCACCCAACAAATATGTAGGAGAAAGTGGAGATGGATCGGGCATACATTGAGGAGGCCGCCGAATGACATCGGACGCCAGGCCCTCGAGAAGAAACCAAAGGGGATGCGGCCTACGGTGACATGTAGGAGATCGTGTAAGGAAGAGATGAGAGAGTTTGGCCAATTGTGGACCCATCTGAAGAGGACGGCAGAAAACAGAACAAAGTGGAGGTGTGCTGCTGAAGTCCTATGTTCCACTCGGAACGCAAGGGAATAATAACAGTGTAGCAACAACCCTTCCTCTAATCAATAGATACATTCTCTTCCTCGAATCATTTGCGATGATGAAGTAGGCATGAGGTCTCTGGGTCCGTTCCCAGGGCTCCCGGAGGAACTTCATCCGCTCCTTCTGTCTCAGAGGTGCGTCGGTTGGCGGTTAACCCATATTTCTGCTTAATTATTTGTTATATTATGTTTCTTTTGGCACTATTGCTACTATTTTTGTACTTGCATTTACTTCAGAGTTATTTAGTAACTGCTATTTTTATACCATTTTCTCACCAACCTAAGTACAATGGTTGCTGAGGCCGACCATTCCCGCCTACTGAAGACATCAACCACTTGCATAATTCGCCCGTGTGAAGGCTCGGTTTGCCCCGCAAAGTAAGTCTAACTCAATTATTGGGAGTCTCCTCGAAAACATCATTGAGGTTGCATGTGATTTTCTTGATGGCTGCTTTCCAAACCATAGTCATCTTCCGAAAACCACCTAAATCAAGAGAGTTGCAAATACAAATCCACTTAAGGTGCTAGAGATCTTCCAAGATGCTCACCTTGATGCTCGTCATGTGCAGTATTTAGTCATTGATAACCCTTTCATAACCCACACGAAATGAAGTTAATAGGAGCAGCTGACAGAGCTGCCAAAACTACTAGCCCCGGCATAATCATTTCGACAGCAGTATCGATTGGATCAGACCACTACAAAGATAATTCTCGTTCAAACAGTGGGCCGTCACGTTATTATTCTGTGACTTATATCACCAAACTTGATACAGAGTTGTTAAGCATCAAGGGGATAAGAGCGTATCTCGCCCTCAAGGCAGATCCTTATTGCTCCCTATGAATAACTGTTCAGAGTCTCAAACCTCCTTGTCTCGATGTCCAAATGTCACGTAAGTTAATACGTAAATGAAAAAATGCACAAGTACAAGAAATACTAAAATCACACAGTTTGCAAACATGTGAGACGAACAAGGAAATCAACTAGTCAGGCTGCTTGCACTGTTTCGAGGTCGCCTCCTGTTGGCTTCAGCTAGAATTAACGCTCACAATTGTTTGAGGCTGTCAATTCTGCTAGACCTGAGCTACAGCTACATCACATGCTGGCTCTTTAGCCCATCTAACCTGGTGGCCGGGCTGTCTTTACCACCACCGCAACCAGCGAGAGGACAATATAACACTTGCGGCTGCTGAAAGATGTATTTGTTGACGATGGTCTGGAGAGAGTGTACAATTAGATAGTCACACCACAACGAAGCTGCCTAGCTTTTGTCTCTTGAAATTTAAATTGGCCACCATGTGTTTCAATTCACACAGATGAACGAGTTGATAGTTGACGGTGAAACGGCCGAGGTTCAAATGAGTTTACGAATTTCTTTGATTCGCTACACCATCACATGTTGCCCAACAAGTCTACCGGCAATGTTGCTATGCTGATCTTATGGCACTATCCGTTGGTTGTGGATGACAGTAATCATATATTGATAGGTGTTGTTACAGGACCTTCTGTCTGGAGTATTTTAAACAGATGTGATCTCTGATCCCCGGTGAATTCCACATATAACATATCGGGTTCCTACGGCTTTTAGATTTCAAATCACCACATCCCATCAGAAGAACAACATGCATTACCTCTGTTTTCTTAGACGAGCATGGTATAATAACAAGTGGAATGGAAAAAGAAGAAATATCAAATATTACCGAAACTCTCACAGAATTTCACCAACGAAGATTTTAAAAGCCACAAAGAGCGTCTCACATCAAAAGCGCTTCATATTTAATGGAATCCAAATTACAATTACTAGTGTTCTCTGAGCTGGTTGGTTTAGTTGCGGAGCTTTCGTCACCCTTCTGGACAACATCTTCAGCGCAATTTTTAGCAGAAAGTGAACTGATTTAAATTTTTCCATGAGTGATAGAATTGCGTCTCCCGGTAACCATCTTTACATATGTATTGATCATTTTCTATTGACTTGGATTTTAACTTCTGGTCACATGATCTACTTTTTATTAGTTGGTATATTTGGTCTATATTAACATGTTTGTTAATTGCATGAGTACCAGGCTTCTAGGAATTCCCGGAACTTTTGGTGTTTCCTCTGTCTAAAATTTCGACATTATCCCAATCAAACTGATGTCCATAATTATCTATATGCATTGATATGAAAGAGTATATCCAAATTAACTAAATGAAAATTATGCATTATGAATTTGACGTAGTTCCAGCATCGCTTCCACATGAAGTGACAAAATGAAGGAGTGCGTGATGGTCAACTTCATTATTAAGTACATCCCGCTTTAACAGTTTAAAATATCAAACCCAACAACCTTCGAACAGCTTTCTTACTTTACAAATTCGCCAACTTGACAACGTAAAAATCTAACCCATGCTACAGGAATATAATAAAGTTGCTGCTGATATTTTATAAGTCCTGCTTTTTTATTGATTTCACAAGGCCATTAGCAATAAATCGTGCGGCGTCAGTAAAACAATGTTGTTCCGTTTACTCATTCATTGAGAAATACAAAAACTTTATGCTGGAGATATTCGGCACACTATCAAAGCACTTTATAAAAGTCAATTTAGCTGAGTATCGGGTTGTAATCAGTAAACAATAACATCCAAACTTGAGCTGAAAATATACATGCCTTTCAAACATGTGAAGTGCAAATCCCCATCAAATATTTACTAGCGTTTCAAACTTACGACAGGTTATCGCCCTAGTTTCATTTCCCATTTTGTGCACGTATTTGTTTCTCTAACGAATCTTCTGAAAGATAAGTGCGAAACCTTGAATAGGGCCCCGAATGCTTTGAAAGCATTTGAGAAGTTAAGATGTTTACCGCAGACAGTGCATTTGGAATCTGCCACTACTGAATCCGCTTGTGGACTTGCCATCGAAAGGTATTTAATTTACTTTTGATGAAATTCTTCTTTGACAACCGACAGAGGGCTAAAATCTGAATCACTTGCTTTTCGGAAGCCTTTTGACCTGTATATGTAAACACGCATTCGCAACATTGCATATCATCCAATTTTTTTAATGACATTGTGGAAGGCTTCCATCGCCAACTTAAAGCTACGCCAACAATCAATTCTAAATAGATAGATTGTCCACCAGCTGTCCAGCCCAGCATTCACTACACCCTCAGCCTGGGAATATGCTTCACTGAAGCACAACTGACTTATGGAACCATACTTGGCTTGAGAGAAGGACAAGTTGCTTAGGAAATTAGAGAGCCAAGTGGTTCAGGCATGTGCACAACTCAAACTCATCTTAGATTCTTCCTCACATATACTACGCGTTAAAATCAAAAGGAAGTTTCAACAACGTGCTAAAGTTTTTGTTCATTCCTGCTCCCTAAGGTTTCACTAGTAATGGCCTCTATTGGTGCGTGGGCAAGCTAAAGGCCATCGATTAGTATCACAGAAAGGTAACGCTAAAAGCCCTTTACTGTTTCTCCTGAGTGATGAGACGAACTTATCACATGTGGTCAGTTGCTTGCAAAATGAAATAGATTCGAAACATTTCGGTGGAATATATCATTCTTTAAATTATTCTTATTCGTGTTCTGAAAAATCTTACAGAACTTCATACAATAAAAGGCCATGAAAGATAGCGAAATAAGACTACCAGTTTCCAAAAGGTGAAATTAGGCCATATATACCCCACAAAACAGCCTATTTAGTACTTGTAATACATGCAGAAGCTACTAAAGGAGTCAGATGGTGCTGTCTCCCCACCTGTTTTCAAGATGGTATTATGCGCAGGCAACCAAATTCCTGGTTTGTATTGGCTTCTTTCACCTATACCGCTCAACTTATTCACCTGTACTGATGGAAAGCCGTAGGTGGAGCGGCCCTAAAGGCTTCCTGGTCATCATTTTTACTTTTGGTCAGGCTAAGTAATCAATCAGTTGTGTGGTGGTCACACAAAATTCATGAATTCAGAACATTACGCAGTAAATGTTTCTGCCTCGGGACTAGCACTTTGAAAGCGGGACAGATGGCCCAAAGATTTACTACTCATCTGTGAGACCGACTGGATTCAACTTACACAGCAGGAATGATCAGCGATTTGTCACCACGTAAGTCCATAAATTAATGTCAGTGTGATTTTATCTCTCTAGTTTGCTTCCAGTGAACGAGTTACTGAACCTTGAAAAACTCCTTAACCTTACCCAATGGAACTAAAGTGCTACATACAAGTTTATTGGCTACCATTCGACTTTCACCAACATCAATACCATTCCGCTGGTTCTTCCAGTTTTCCAGCGACGATCAAATTGCTCTATATTTTATCTTTGAAAGGAAATAAATATTTTTTTATTAAAAAAAAAAACGTGGGTTATAGAGCTTCAAGCTAGAGGCTTGAAGTTTCGGTAGCAGTGATGTTTAATTTTACGGGGTGAAGTTGCTAGCCTCATTCCCAACCTTCCCTCTTTACCAATCTTGTTACTGACTTAGTGAGGTAAAGAGGTGTGTCAGCCGGGGATCGCACCTCGGACCATATACGTGGTCGGCGAATTGTAGGCATTAAGGCTGAAACTGTCTATCATAGAGCATGATGTCGACATCCTCGCTTTGAGGATACGAATCAAAATCCTACTAAACTATAATACGGATTAAGAACCCTCCGAAAGCTACTCGGGGACTTGTTGTTTAAATGTTTCACAATCAGAGTTTAGGAAGGGTCATTTGCAGCGGGTCTTCGTCTGCTTAGTCATGTCTTCAATTGGTAGTGGGGTTTGTTCTGTTGATATCACGAAGATACGTTTAGTATGACTTGACTGCATCTCAGTTTTCTCGTGGTGGAAATGTTTTTCAAATTGAGTATGCTTGTAAGGCAGTGGAGAACAGCGGGTAAGAGGCATTGAGAAAGATTTAATTACCTTTTAACGCAGCACAGCCATAGCCATTCGGGGTAAAGACTGTGTAGTTTTCGCGGTTGAAAATATTGTTACATCAAAGCTCTATGAACCTGGCTGTGTAAAGAGAATATACAACATCGACGACCATATTGGTATGGTAAGCGAATAAGTGTATTATTTCGGCTTTAGGTTGTCATGGGATTCCAGACCGATGCTAAAGCCATTGTTGAGGCTGCAAGAGATGAATGTGCGAATTACCGCGACAGTTTTGGAAGTCGTATACCTTTATATGTAAATGTGGTTTATTTTAAAGTAGATCTTTGTAGTCCTTGACAGAGCGGCTGGCTATGTATATGCATGCACATACACTTTACAGCGCTGTAAGACCATTCGGTGTGTCAGTTCTACTTGGATCATACGAAGGCGATGGTCCTCACTTGTATGTTATCGAACCATCTGGTTTATCTTTTGTAAGTAAATTACCAGGCTAATTAATCTGACTTTTTTCATGAGCGTAGTTTTTGGTTCCAACTAGACTGCTAACATATCACTATGTACCAGAATAGTTTGTGTAACTAACTCAAAAATAATATTTTCTTGATTTATAGGCTAAATTATCAGCTTGTCGTCACTAGGTTGTGTACAGTTTGATTTTGATTTAGCTGTGAATGAAACAGCCTACAGTGCCACTTACCTGCGTATGTAGATTTTTCACGCCACTGCCTTTCAGTTAAGCCTTAGAGTAATTTTGTTGATTTCTTAACGCAACAACGTTTTATGTCAAAATGAGTCAGTGTAGTTGCCCAAAATGCATAGACGTGGTCTATCAGAGTTAACTAAATGCGTAACGGTACTGCCTTCAGCATAGTTACTCACGACAAGCTGTTCAAATAAAGATGGGTCCTTTTTCGGTCAGTATATTTAATCATTTTACTATCTCTTTATTATTTCGGTCGTTTTATGTAAGACAATCACATGCTCATAGATGGGTCGTCAGATAGCAAGAGATGGTCAGTATACAAGGGTGCGACTATTTACTTTAATCTGTCGATCTAGTATCTACCTTTTATCCAGATATTTGACGGAAATTATTTATCTCAACTAACTATTCGGCACAAAACGGTCAACTCTTCATGTAACTATTAGTTTTATAAGCATCGTACTACATTATTGGATTAGTTGACGTTTGACTAAAAGACTTCCATCTAGACTTGTCTGATTTCTCGTTCCAATATGTTATATGCACATCAGCGGACTCCTAGCGATGCAACGTGTAACCAAGTATAATTAACGGTACATGAAATCTAGGTTTTACACATTATCACATTGACGAATGTCCAATAAATTAGTGTATTGGTTTCCCCCTAAATATTGTTTATTAATTGATGCAATTGTGTCGTCAGAAATAAATTCATACCTGTACAAAAAAGTACGGTGTGGAATCAATGATATTTCAAGTATCAAGAGTTGCTTATTAAAATATAGTCAGTTTCTGTCAGTTAGCTTAAGGTGGTAGTAAATGCTATCCATATTTTCATTTACATGTGTGAAGTCGTTTGTTTTGAATTTTTAATGTTGTAAATATTTTACCTCATGTGTTAAAGGCCTATTTTGGTTGCGCTATCGGTAAAGCCAAACAAAATGCAACAACGGAAATAGAGAAGCTTAAAATAAACGACTTGTCTCCAGAAGAACTAATTAAGGAAGCCGCCAAAATGTAAGTTTTTATGTAACGCCTAAGTATATATTTCTTTTTTATTCTGCTTATATGGATACTGTTTAGTTTTTAGTGCTTCCACTTTTGTCAAGCTCGGAAGGCGATTAAATGCGAAATAACAGTCTAGAATGTAATTTGTTCGAATTTTGCGGTATCCACAATATCTAAATGTTTCACGCAATATATAAAGTTTTCCAGTGAACATCACTCATTTTCAGGCAGTCATATACAGTTGAGAAGTCCTAAGGAGGATGAGGCTTAACATCTACATTCCACTAGAAAGATGACATTCGTCTTGGGGTCTTAGTGAACTCATTTAACTGGTCCCAACAGTAGTTTTCAACTTATAAGCACCTGACTACTGAAGTTAAATCACATTATTATGGTATATCACTTCAAACTTTTATAGATTCTGAACAAAACAATCGTAAATTTCACGATTTGTTACTATTAGTGAAACGATCACCGACAAACGATTATTTCCATAGTACACCTTAGCATGGAGATCAAAACAGTAATTTCAAAAATGGAGAATATTGTGAAGGAAGCTACTCAAATAAAAATAATGTAACTAAAGGTTGTAAAAAAATAGCGAAACAAATGAAAAATGAGGCAATTTTTGTTATGCTATATAACGTAGGCATATATGAACGTAGTTTTGCAGTTACCACGTAAATTATAGCCGAGGAAAGTGTTCTTTCCCACGTGGTTAGGCGATCATGATCAATGTATGTTTCAGGCGCCTACAGCCATGTTGGCTTTTAGTTTCAGTCTTTCTTAAGTTTCCATATTCACCTTCCACGTCTTCATAGTGGTTTCACCAAATGTAGGTGATATTTTAAAAGCAACAATGGTCGCACTTTTGAATCCCCTACTATTAATTTCCTTTTTGTTGTTTTATGGCAACTTGAACTTCTATTGTGGTTTGATGCAAGTAAACCATTCTACCAGATAAACGTCTACTATCAGAATGTAGGAAAATGTTGATGACCTTTATTGAAGGTCTCTTTCTTGATAAAACTTGACAAAGGGAATTGTGGATGCATACGCTAAAGACAAATTCGAAAGAGGTTGAAACGAATGTTAAGAAAATAAAATGCAAACTGTCGCAGAACAGTAATCCAAATAAGAATATGTATGATGGGCAAGTTAGGTGCTCCGAACACTCCTTAACAGCCACATAAACATACTGAACTGCTGCATAGTATATTCGACATCGCATAAGAAACAAATACTACAACTAAGTAGAGTACGTCTAGAAAGTTATCTGCAAGCATTGTTGTTTTACTAAGTGATATACCCTACGAATAAACAATGGAATTACCATTCTATCATAGTGTGTGGTTGTTATCACATGAATTTCGGCAGATTAGTATACACTAACGCATAAAATTCTTCATACATTTAATGCTCTTTGAATTTGAATAAAGCAAGAACAAAACTTTATTCAGAATAAGATGGTTATTATTTTTTAAACTATTGTTCCATTGGGTTTCGAGTGGAACATAGGGCTTCAACAGCATATCTCCACATTGTCCCATATTCAGCAGTCTTCTTTAGCTGGTCCCACGATTGCCCGTAGTCTCTGGTCTCTTCGTCGCACGATCTCCCCCATGTTACCCTCGAACGCTCCCCCATCGTTTCCCATTTGGGTTCCACTCGAGGGCCTGGCGTGCGATGTCACTCAACTGCTTCATCAGCGCGTGCCTGATCCATCTCCATTTTCTTCTGCATATTTGTTGAGCAATAGGTCCTTGGTTAGTTTGTTTCCATGGTGTCTTGTTGCTAATTCCTTCTGGACATTTGATATTCAATATAGAGCTAAGACAGCTGTTGATAAACGTCTGAAAATTGTTGGAAATGCTTCTCGTGACGTTTCAAACCCATATAAAAATAACGTTTGTGTTGAAAATCCAAATTCTGTTTTTAATACTGAATGCAGATGATTTCCAAATTGGTTTCAGGGTGCCGAAAGTGTATGTTGCGTTCCGATTCTGGTTTTGACATCCTAATCCGTTCCGCCTACAGTTAAAACGATTCTTCCCAGATAAGTGAAGGAAGTAACCTCTTTCAAAATTTCTTCCATTGATAGTGATTGGAGCTGGTTATTGTTGCTGTTGGTTGGTTATCTTCATCACCTACGACTTTTCTATGCTCACTTAAAGTCCTGTCTTCACTGCTTCTTCAGTCAGTCTGTTGGTTTTCGCTGTAGTCTTCGAGTCTATGTGACACTAGACAATCGTTCACGAAGTCTAGATCTTATAGAATCTTTATATCGAGCCAAAGTATTCCTATCTTCCCGCTCCCCACAGCCTGTCGTATGATTCAGTCCACCACAATCAGGAGTATCATTTGTAATAGTAGGCAGTCTTGCCTTACTCCTGTATTCCCTTCGAACGCCTAGCTGAGTTTTCCGTTGTGGATCACCCGACACGTCGCACTGTCATATAGCCAGCTGTTGAATGAGGTTGACAAAGACTTGAAGTACTCCACAGTGTTGAAGTAGTTTCCAAATTATTTCTCGGTCTACGCTGTCGAAGACCTTTGCGAAGTCGATGAAGTTGAGGTAGAGGTTTGACTGCCATTGTCAATGTCCAGGTCTTTGTTGTGTCTGTCAGGAGAAAGCCATGTTGTCTTGTGCATATCCTTGTGCTTATACATACTGCCTATGATGACCATACCATCGAAGGCGTAAAATTCTGCGAAGAGTTCTCCGTTATCACTCATTTTGAAAGCATCTTAACCTATGATGAGTTCTCTTCCTGTGTTACCTGCTCACAATCTAGCATTTCATATCGCCCACAAGGGTTCTGGTGGCGCTGTTTGGGATGTTGTCCATAGCTGTTTTCAGTTATTTACAGAAATCTTCTGATTTGCTTGTGGGCGCTTATCATTGGGTAGTTGTAACCTTCCTTCCTTTTGAGTTGAACCTTGCTGTCGTTATCCTAGAGATTGGTCCTAATTGAATAAGAGCTGTGGCTGCTGGTGGTGTCATCTTGGTTGCTACTCCGTCAGTGTGCTCGTGGTTGTCGTCTAGATCACCAGATTAGATAAGTGTCTATCCAGTCGACAATTTGGATAGTCCACATCCACTCCTGCTCTCTCATATTCCTAATCTTCCCAACTTTTTATTCACCATCTTACCTGTCATATTCGTTACATAGTTTCTTTACCAATGTATGCAGACACATTTCTGTCTAAACTTTAACTCTCCGGGTAAAAACTATGTGTAATTTCCTCAGTACTGTTAATATTAAGTTTGGAGACTCTTGTCAACTAACATCATGCAACATTTACAGATATGTTAAAATTGTTCCGTACATGCAGTTAATAATTTCTTTAGACTGTACACAGCTGATGAGAAGCCAGTAAAATAAATGACGCTACCATCTTATGCTGCACACAATTTTCTTGCTTCAGTTCAGATAAAAATCTCCCTTTCAGTAGAAAAAGACTGAGGTACTTTTTCTGCACACTCGACCAGCTAATCAAAGGCTACCTTACCTTTAATTGCATTCTTAGAGTGTCACGTTATCTGAGACTGCATAAAAAATAATGACACTTGCAAAATTCTAAGTGATTCTCAAATTGGTAAGGGGGAGTGCGTGGTATCGTTGATACCTGGCACAAGCATAGATTTTCTTCACACTACATGTGGCACATTGTTTTTGGTTATCGTGATGTTTTTTCTCTCATTTCCCTAGAATTTATACTGTGCATGATGAAATCAAAGATAAAAATTTCGAACTGGACCTAAGTTGGGTTGGTGCGAGTAAGTTTCTCTCTTCAATTCTCCTAATCTACTTTTATGTTTAGATACACAGGGTAAGCATCAATCTGTTTCTCGCAAACTGTTTGAGGATGCAGAGACATTTGCAAAACAGGCTTTAGAAGAAGCTGACGATCTGGACGATGAAGTGGAATAAAAGCTGTACATCTATTCTTTTCTACCCAAAAAATATTGTTGATATCACTTATCTTTTGGTTTTATTTCTGCTTATGGAACGTGTTTCTGAAGAGTTAATATTAAAAGGCGATACAATTAGTATGAAGGTGGATTTCTTCACAAAAAATCCTCCACACAGTTCCAGTTATTTAAAGTGTAAAAGTTTTGCATATAGGTAGCATGGTTTCTGACGAAGATGTTCCCACTGAAATTGGTATCAGTTGTCTGTTTGCAACAAATATTCCGCGTATATCAGCCATCTGTAAATTGAGAATCTAATCATGTGAAAGTATCCGCAAACGTTTACTGCTAGTGGCTGTTAAATGTTATGTCGAATTAGCACTACTGTCATACTAATCAACATAACAATTGGACCCACGGAACTGTCTAAGAATTAACGGAGAATCATCATCTGAAAAGATAATCAATGTTTTCCCGTGTGAGATACTTAATTTCACCATTCTTGTTTTATTTCAGTATAGATGTACTAGTTGAAGTACTTCTGCTTATATTGGGTACCTTTAAAATTGACTCACCACCACAAAAACGCCAGTGTAAGAGATACACTACGTGGGCTTTGCGGTGCTTTCTAACAAAGGCGCTGGAAAAGTGTGGTATTCTGAACACCCTGGACAAAACTGAATGTTTTGCATATGTCCAGCCTTTATCAAATGTGAAATGATGCTACGGAGCGTGCGTATATGGAGAGTTTATATCATTGTTCCTACTGGTTTACAGCTGATACCTTTAATGACATGAACCATGGTGAATAGATAGTAGTATGACTGAAATATGCTAAGCAACCGCGGTAGTTGAGCAATCATCTTATCTGACAGTTTTATTACGGAAATACAAACTCACAATTACTACACCCCTCAGTTTAAGACGATTTACTTCACAAAACAAGAGAAGACTTCAATTCATACAATGTTTATTAAATTTGTTTCTATTTTTTTAATCGAATAATAATACAAATGTGCCTTTACTCTATGCATACTCATTGTTCGCAAGATATTCCTGAAGCGTCGGAGCCAAAGGTAAAGTTTTAATAATATCATTGATTGGCCTTTTAGGTAAGGTACAGTGTTCTCTAGAATTTCTAAGATTATTACGTACCACAATTTTCGACCACAGTGACAAGCTTTTGGGCTGAGATAACCATTTGTTCAACCAATCGTCCAAGTAGTTACGATGATCCACTGGTGTTATTGGTAATAACTGAGTGATACTTTGTGGTAATTTAACTGACCGATTGCTTTCAACGTAACATGAAATTAACATATTGAGAAGTGTAATTTTATCGTTAGTTGGTATAAAACGCGGCCAATCTTTTAGGTTACTTAGAAACATAAAACCCATTCTAGCTGAAAAATTTACAATAAGATTCAGCAAAGAATGATGACTAATTACATGAACTGTCGCTGTTATCAACACATTACGATTAATATCCATGCAGCTTTCGTTATCATCGGATATGAATGGTAAAAAGTGATGATAAGCAATATACAAAAATAACTCATGCCCAGGAATTATGCTTGATGCTGGAAAGTATGACAGCAGTTGGAGAACCAATGTTTCATGATTTCTTGCACTAATCGGTTTTAATGCTGGACATTCAGAAAAGGAATGATTTAAAAATTCATCTATAGAGTTTTGAGTGTCAGACAAACAGAAAATTTTTGAATCATTGTATAAAACAGCACGTGAAATAACAAAGGTGAATATATTACGCCAAAAGAATTCAGAAACAGGTTTAGATTGTCTACTCTTGTGCACTTCGAGAAGTGTTCCCAATTTAAATTGTTGCTCATTAAAATTAGCCTTTAAACAAGCCTCGTGCCACCATGTAGTCCAATCAGGATGGGGAAAACGTAGTGTTAAAACAGCAAAATATAGTACGAGCGGTAATAAAAACCTGTTATGGACTGTAGATTTGGGACTTCCATTAATATCTGCTAGATTCCAAATCAACTGCTTCTGTATGTCAGGTTGTTTAATGAAAATTTTCGGCAGTCCCCATTGCGAAAGGATTCTTAACCAGGCTCTAGCAGACACTGGGGGTATGTACAAGCCCAGACTTTGCAAGCGGTGGACACAGCTGAAGTTTTGGTTAAATGGAATAAGCTTTCTTAGAAAATATGAAGAAATCCGTAGTAAACAGTGAAATATTTCTTCTGAACAAATGGACCAACGCTCCACGGCATCCAACCCCAAGAATATTAAGAACTCCTCAATCCCTTTTGTTGACGGTTCCTTCTGTAAAAGACGTCAAAGAGAAGTATCACGGATTCAGCTATACACACCAATCACAAGATTTAATAATGTCGACAGTCAGTAATAGACATACCTCCGAGTTTACTTTATCACAAATGAAGATCATATGCGCAACTAGTGAAGTAGATTGACTGTTCTTGGTTGTTTTCGCATTAGTAAAGCATATTTAAGTAGATTAGACACTTTGCTAGTTTGTGCACTTAATATTCAATTCTAAGTTTTTCTACGAAACTATCACCATGATGGTGAGTACTTACTTTAAAAAATGTGTATGTATAAGTATAACTGGAAATTGCTTATCTGATTAGTGTCCTTTATCAGGTTATTTTCGTTGCGTTGGACTCATTATAGCGTCTATAAAAAACGCATGAGAATCTGTCTATCTTCAATCACCAGATACAATACAATGATGATGGTCTATTTATCTTCACCTTGTTAAAATGAATTATTCTCATTCAACCATTGTTACTATACAGAGTAACTGTTAGTCAAATTGGTCTTGAAACAGTTTGTTTGTAATAAGTTTCGCTTGATAATAAAAGTGCTAATCACCTACCGTGTCTTTTGAAGTGTGAAGCTACCAAGTGTGTAGATCCTTTCTTGAGATGTACTTGAAAAGTATCTCCTTTGGGTCGCGGCCAATTTTAGGAACCGTTTCAGTGTCTGGCATACGGTAAAATCTTATCAACTCATCGGCAGCCATTTGTGAAACTAACCTGGTATTTCCACATATGGTGTCCCTTTGGTGCAATCAGGCATAGTATGCTTATGAACTCTAGAATAGTTAATAATTCAGATCCACCTTCCTTAAATACTTCTGCAAGTAGCCCTTCCTCATCTTAAGTTATTCATAATTTTCTCAACTTTTAAATTTTTAACGGGAGGAGGTTATATTACAGTTTCATTCGGAACGTAGGTAAAGAAAGTTGAAACTTTTTCAAAGGGTGAAATCCGTCATTGTGATCACGTTCCCTGTGAATGTACCACTTAAATCTCCAATTGAACTTTTCTGAATACCTGTTAGAAACATAGGCAGTAATTCTAGCCCTCCAATAATGTTATGTTGATATGCAGCCAGAAGTGGTTTTCTTTCAACTTGGAAGATAAGTGTTGTACTACTATGAAGTGAATGAGGGATTGCATTTTGATAGCTTATAATTAATAACATTAACACCTAGTAATCCCACATACCTTCAGCGACTGACTAACTTTTACAATCAGTATTTTATTTAAAACAAGTAGCCGCTTTAATTAATTTCTGAAACCACTAAATTCATCTGTCATTAAAAACTGGTACTGGTTTGACTTACTTCCAGGACAGTAGCATATATTTCTTCGAAGTCGTTTAAATGATACGGTGCAGCATGGGCTTTCAACAGCTTGAAGTAGGCCAAGGATATTGAGAGATCAGTATGTAAGGCTAGGTACCAGAAACGATAATCACGTAAACGATCGAAACTAATTTCAAGCACATCCAAAACATGGGTAGTCAGCTAATTAATTTTTGGTAATATATAGGTGAGTAAATGCATACCTTTAAGTTACCTTGGTTCAAAGCAGCCACGAGAGGTGGCACATCATCCATACACCGGTAGTCTGTTTGTGCTCCTGCATCCAACAATAAACTGAACGACTCATAATCACTATTTTCAATTGAGACTGTAAGAGCATCTTTACCCTTAGGAAGGCGTATATGTAGAGATTTAATTTACCATGAAGTTTTTACGTCGAACTTCAGTAGTAAAGTCAAGATCTTCTCGAGCCTGTAGTGCAGAAATGCATACTTTTACGCATTCTGGAGAGCCTGACATAGCTGCAAAGTGTAGTGGCATATTACCCTACTAAATGCAGGCTAATTTGTTAAACTTACATCAAAGTCCGGCAGATTTACTAAATTCGGATCGTCCTTTAAAATCCTTGAGAGTGATGTTGCATCACCGGATAATGCTATTCTGAAGACCATATGAGCGAATTCCATCGCTGGAATACTATTCGACTTTTGATAGATTACATCAGATTGTTCAACAAAAGACGGAGAAATGTGGATAAGTCTACTAGCGACTTCAGCATTGAGCAAACCTGAGAAGGAATAAAATAAAAATTAGCTATCATCACTCAGATTGTTAATTAAAATGGTCACTATTTTGAAGATATATCAATTGATGGTTTGACAATTCCGACTGCTCATAAGGAAGTGTCTAAGTCGTTCAACTAGTGTTCATCGGTCTTATTCGGGCTATACTTCCCTCTTTCAGTTAAGAATTGTTATTTGCATTTGATATTCAAGGTAAGGCTTTAAGTAGGTGAGATATGACTGACTGACACATCAACATGAAAATCCACAGACGTGCATAAATTCAGAGTGCTACTCCTCGAAAAATCACACCAAGAAAAGATGACATCATTATGTACCTACATTAATGAGAGAGAATAGTGGCATGAAAACTAATTGCTTTGAATCTTAAAGACAAGTGGTAAGTAAATTCCAGGTACACAAACAAAAGTTTCCAACCACTGTTTCTCAGGACAGTGAGGCCGCCTAAACAAGTAAACTACATGCCTTATACCAACCTAGCAATTGAGTGAAATAATCTTTACCAGTACACCCATAATGAAATAAAGACAGTAGTGACGAGTAATCAAAGTGAAAAGATGGGTGCGTATTCTTCATCTGGTCCTGGAACCTGCATAACTTGTCCTTTACAAGAAGTAGTTAACATATAAGTAACTACGGACACCAAGATTTTAGAAGCAAAATTAGTCACGGCGTTCTCCCTGTGGCTATCACAGGACAATTAGTTGCTTCTCCTATATATCGCCCAAAGGAATGACTGCCGTTACCGAGCGATGACATCTCTGTTTCGTCTTTCACAGTTGCAGGTAGTTGTTACGAAATCTTTTGCTCAAGATGATAGTATCCTAAATGTCGAAATAACGCACTTGAAAGCCATGTCAGGTGACTACTTTGAATGCTTTAGCTGCAACTGCATTTCAGTGAGTCGCAGGTTTTATGCTTGATAGCTCAAAGTAACACTGAAACGGATACTGAAAAAATGAAATTCCTGTTTATTTGTGTACTCTTAATTGAGTTCAAAAAGTCTGGGAAATCCAACTAAGTTTGGATAGCTAACTTATGCTTACTACACCCCTATCTACCTTGAATAATGACCTTGTTATAAATTAGTAAAAACCATCACACAATAATTTCATTTGATAAAACATAGTAGTAAAGCATTATTTACTGATATTTCGAGCACGATATATTGCATATAATCATGTCATCTTGATATGATTGAGGAAATAGGGGGAGCGGTGTAAGAAGACAAACAAACGGGAAAGGAAGCAAATAATTACGATGATAAATAACCGATGAGTCGAACCTATGAAAGCAATAAATTACATAGATTTATGACAAGAGGATATACTAGATGACAACCTTGAAGATAAAAAAAAATGCAGATTTGCGTTCTTCAGACAGACTGCTACACAATAAATTGTATCACGTTACGGTGATGAATAAGATTGTGATGATTGGGGCGCATGCCAATACTACAAGATGTTTAGGAGGCGTCTCTCCACTACGTAAAATATTTAAGTCGCAGATAATATGCCGAATTGCGTGTAGTGTAGATTGAATACCATCCCACTACATCTTGCACAGCCACAAATATCCTCACCTGAATCATCAGTCATTTTCCCTTGTTTTGGCTCTTCATCTTTTCGCGTCATCAATTTAAAGAGCTATGCAAGCCAAAACAGTTCATTTCGAATTGAAATGTGCAAACTAGAGTGATTTAATAGCCCATTTTCCTGTGGGATCACACAAAAGTTGTTTATGCAACATAAAATGAGTGGGTTGTCCACACATTTGTAGACGATTTTACAGAGTGCTACGTTACTTGAGACGGAATTAAATGCATTTATGGAGCTTGGAAACCTATGGACTGCAAAATATGTATCTTATAACACAGTTCAACTACCCTGCGTTGAGAGTACTCCTTAAGTATACGGATAACACTGAAAAACAAATTTAATACATATGTATTTATGCATTCAATATTTAACCCCGTCCAACAATTCGTTTGCATCAATATCCCCTCCGGTCTACAATGAGTGCGCATTTGCTTATATTTCTGTCACTGACAAAAATACACGTCTGAAAGTACCCGGTCGGTCGGTTTTCGACATAGAACTTTGCACATATGTGCGGCAGTTCAAGTCGCCACAATCCATGTAGCACGCAAAGCAAGAGAAGAAATGCTAATATAACAGTAACAAGGAGTGGATGCATCTGCGCCACTGAGAACGATTTTGAGCCATGTCACCAATTGTTTCCAACCATTGGTTTTTACCATCCCGAGGACCCCAACCAGGAAGTCTACATCTTCCTACGTGGCTTAGACTAACTGTTGTGGATTTCATTGACTGGTGCCATGTTTTCGTTTGACCACCACTAGCTCTTTTCCAGCCTGGTCCTATATCAGCTAACATTGCCCGTCGAGGAAGGCGATGACTAGGCATACGTAATACATGTCCTAGCCATCTCAGTCGAAGTAATTTCACGTTTCGTTGATTGATTTCCCCTCCTTGCCTAGCACTCGACGCCTAACCTCAATATTGCTCACCTTATTATACCACTTCACGCGGGAGATAGAATGCAGACACCTATGATCGAAGACAGCTAATCTTCTCATGTCTTCCACTCTCAATGGCCAGGTCTCACAGCCATAAAGGAGGACGGAGCGGACTGTTGAGCAGTACACACGCCCTTTGGTCGATAGTCGGATATCACGTCTACGCCAGAGACGGCGAAAACTGGCGTATGCGAACCTAGCCCTCTGTATTCGTGCTGAGATTTCGTCGGAGATCAACCCGTTGGGGCTGATGGTACTTCCCAAGTAAGTGAAGCGGTCAACGTGCTCTACCACTTCACTTCCTATTTCTAATCTATGGGTCGGTGAAGTCCAATCCTGCAGCATCATCTTACATTTTACAGGGGCGAATCGCATGCCAACATACGAATTGCATTTTGTCAGCGTCCTCGCCTAGAAGGACTATATCGTCCGCATATTCTAAGTCAACGAGATTATTCCCTGGTAGCAAGTCAATCCCTAAGTCGCTGAAGTGAGTTAGGGTTAAGTCCATTAGTACGTCTATGATGAAGTTGAATAGGAATGGGGATAATGGGCATCCTTGACGGACGCCACTAGTCGTCACCACTTCAGATGACAACTCGCCGTAAGCCTTCACCTGGCTGCATGAGTACGAGTAGAGTGCCTTATCAGTGATCGCTTTAGTCAAGAATATAAGATTGTTGGACGCCGGTAGGAATGCCTATGTTCTAGAATCTGTCGAAGGGTAAAGATATGATCAATACACCCTCTACCTGGCCTAAAACCTGCCTGGTTTTCTCGTGTTTGTGTCTCCGAGTACCACTTAGTCTACGCAGTATTATTGAGCCTAGGATTTTAGATACTATATTAGTCAAGCTAATCCCTCTGTGATTATCACAAGAAGACTTGTCTCCCTTCTTGTATATCGGGATGATCAGTGACTTACACCAACCCGATGGGACTTCCTCTGATTCCCAGACGCTGCCTAGAACCTCCGTTAACGCAGACAGTAAACTGTCTCCACCGTACTTAAATACCTCTGAGTCAAAAATCAGGTCCCGCTGCTTTGCCTTGCTTCAGTTAGTGACAGCTTTAGTAACCTCAGTTAAGGACGGAGGACCTGTGTCTATATCCCATTCAGGGAGGTGTTGGATGTCCGGCAGGTTAAGTGTGGCTGTGGGCCAATTAAACTGCTCCTCATAGTGTTCTTTCCAGCGCTCCAGACGTCTATCCTGGGAGCTAATTATGGTGCCATTTTTCTCAGAGATTGTTTCGCTTATCATTTGCCTTTTACCACCTGTTTCCCTGATGAGTTTGTGTCGTCTGAAAGTACCCAGCTAGCAATGACTTTGGGTGTACTGCATACCTTTGAGGCAGACTTCGGGCGCATCGCAGAATGTTTTGGGAGCAAGCTTTGGGTCATTGCCCCACGTTCTGCAGTGCGCCCGAACCCAGCTAGCATTATTTTCGGGCGCATTGGAGATTGTTTGGGCAAAAAACTTCGGACGCATTCACTTACGTGGGACAGTGCCCCTAAGCCTGCCCCAAAAAATCTGCAATGTGCCTGAAATCGTTGCTAGCTGGGAAGAATACTATAATGTTGAGTTTCAGCAATAAAAATCAATTCGCTGGTTAGTACAGACTATTCACAAGCAAAAAAAGCGTTATTCTGCCCATTAGTAATTACTAACAAGTTTACATAACCAAGAACTGCGTAGAACAACTAGGCAAAGGATAAAGACACAAACGGCTTACGAAGATCCTAAACCCTTGAAGGTCACATATGCATATTGTAATTGGTAGGTTTTCCTTCGCGCGAACATTTTGGCTAATACGTACTGAAAGTTACTGAGGCGAATGTAATGAAACCAAAACCTATTTAATTGAAAACTAATCAATATTTTACTTTCTTTCCTTACAGGAAGATACTCGGTAGTCGGTGAAGTTAAAGTATCACAGCCAATGTCAAGGTGTTTCAGAAGTTGACCTTCAAGAGCCTGTCAGATATAGGGAAGGCTATGAAAGGTCATTCCTAATCAAATCATGCCTGACTTCTTGGACTTGGAGAAGGAAGATACAGTATGTTACTAATTCCCTAGGTACCTTTACTGCAAATCTATACTGTGAGGTAGGTTTATAGCTTTTTAGATTATGGTTTAGTGTTAAAGTTAGGTTTAGGGTTAAAGTTAGGGTTAGTAGTTAGGACTATAGTTTGAGTTAGAATAAGGTTGAAGAGGAGTGTCAGAAGGAGCAGTAGATCTAAAAGCAACACGATCTGCAGTCACCGGGATGAATGAATCTGTGTGTGGTGAAATGGAGACATTCTTAAAACACATAAGAGACAACTATAGAGTGTAATATCATGTTCGCAATGTTTTTCAGTGCATTTTTTAATGATTATGCAACTTTTCGCATCTGAATTCTGACTGGTTGATCGAGCTAGCTCCTGACGCTTTGGCTATGATAGTTTAATGTCGCCCAGGAGTCCACTATCTGGACCAAGAGATATAACAACTGAAAGGTCTAAACTTCAGCGAGGACAATAGAGACTGTTAGATTGTAAGACTAAGGCGCCTCACTTTTTAAAATCGATTCTTGTGGAATAAACGTTCCCTTCACAGTTCGTGTTTTGCTTTCATTATCTTTGTGCCTGCTGCTCTGCTTGTTACACATTGGTGTCGGAGCCCCCCCAAACTCAGTCTCATCATGAAATTGGACTCATATAATCATCCTGCAATAAGCTGTGCACAGAAATTCAGTACATATACTTCAGTCACAGAATACGATTTCCCTCAGAGAGGACCACCACTACTGAACATCAACAGTGGCTACGAGTTGTACGAATTCAGAATGCTGTCTTTTCTTACGGGTCTTTCGCCACTAGGCCAGTATAATCAGATTTTGCTGGCATTGAGCTACGACGCCGTTCATCGTGCGATCGTTGGAGAATTCTTCGCGAAACCCTGCAGATCCTCTGCATACGAGCACTTATTCCTGAATCGCCGCCAAAAACTGGGGGAGACAGTGGCCAACTATCTCCACCAACCTCGGAACTTTGCATCTTACGCGTTCCCAACTCTGTCCAACGCAAATCGGGATGAGAACATTTGTACAGGCTTCGCACAATCCCTCTTGTCCTATGAGCTCAAATGCCAGTCGCTACGCGACCGGGTGCACTCCATATCAGAGGCCCTCCAGGAGGCCAAACGTTTCGCAAGTGTTAGCCTTATCTTTCCACGAACTGCTAGTACATCTTTTCACATCTTGGGAGCCACTGAACTAATACTATCTGTTCCAGCGCTCGACAATACCACCCCAACGCCCAACCACCAGTTCAGCCTGTAGCATCGGCTATAACACCACCCAAATCAAACTGTAACCCCAGCAGATGCCATTATTGTCGCCGACTTGGTCGCAAAGCATTGTGATGTGGTCACAATAGAAGACCTTTTTTCTTTTATTCCTTTGCGTTCCCAGTGGAACACAGGGCTTCAGGCTAAAGCTTTGAAGTTTCGGTAGCAGTGGTTTTATTTTCACGAAATGGGGCTGGTAATCTCGCGCCAAATTTTCCCTCTTTGACAGGTTTATTACCAGCTAAGCGAGGTTTCGGAGAGCGTCAGCCAGAGATCGAACCCCAGACCACCCGAGTTGCTGGGAAGCATGCTGCCGATGCGCCATCTGCGCACAAGATCTTCAGGTGCGCCATTTCTCAATGTATCCTCATTCGATCAGTGTTTGAAACTACCAACCATTCTTGAGAGTAAAATACATGGAGTAGATATATCGTTTCTGATTGACACTGGGGCATTGTCCTCCGTTGTCCGCGTAGGGTTTGTACAGATATTTGGGGCCAGCTTTAATCCCCTTCGCCAGTAAGCTGCGGCTGATTAATGTCAACGTAGCGCCTATCAAGGCAACTGATACCATCTCTGTTCCAATGGCTATACAATTGTTCGCCTGCATTGCCTCGCTTGTTGTTTGTGATTTAGTTTGGTGAGACGTCATGTTAGCCGTTGATTTCTTAATTATACAACACGCTGTAATTGACCAGGGGCGTCTCAGGATTTAGCTGGGAGCATATAACTTCTCAGTTAGTCTATCTGTTAGTCACAAACAATATGCTGATGCCGGTGCCCTACCTCAGGTGACTACGGTAAACACCAATGCTCCCATCTCAGTTCAAAAGACCGTGTTAACACCCTGGCTTTGTAGCAAAATATAGAGAAGTGTTTGATGGCGGACACTGAATGGCCCGAACTAGTGTCGCCCAACATGAGATCAAGACGAGGGATAACCTGGCAATTAGGATGCCGTCTTAACGGGAACCCATTCATTATCAGCAACAGCTGAACGCGATGATTGCAGAAATGTTACAGAAGAAAGTGATGAAACCGTCCACATCACCTTGGGCTTTTCCTATCGTTCTCGCTAAGAAAGACGGCTCACTCTGTCTGTGCGTAAGCTATCACTGCCTAAGTGCTATCACCCAACGAGACTACTTTCTAATACCTCACATAGACGGTACACTAGGCTCTATGGGTGGAACCCAGTAGTTCTCCTCTTTTGATCTGGCTTCCGGATATTAGCAGGTAGAGATCCGTCCCGAAGATCGCCCCAAAACTGCCTTTCTAATGCCTACTGGGTTATATGAATTTGAAACCATGCCATCTGGCTGATGGGCAAGTGGGAGTAATAGCATACGCTAGTGGAAAGCTGGACAAAAGAGAGACACGGCATTGTCCGACTCGTTATGAGATGTTGGCTATCATGTATTCTCTCTGTTACCTTTGCATTATTTCTGCAATGCGGGTTCCATTGAACTGTTGAGACGAGGATATTCTCCGTCTCCGCAGCTGTGGCTCTCACTGGCTGTTTCAATATCCAGTAGCTGCAGATGTAAAAAATTTGCGTCAAGGAGAGGTGTGACCTTGCAAAAAAGTTCCTACGAAATATTAAAATTATCAGCTTACCCTCTCTAATGCTCACTCGCTTCAAGCATATTGCACAACGATGGACAAATCCATCAGTTGACGTGCTATAGCTTTTTTAAGACATGACACCACCACACGAACAAGTTCGCTCCTTCCGGAGCAACCCAAAATACAGGCAATACTGGAAAACACTGTTCTCCTCGAATTGTAACCATAACCTTGTTAGGGCACGCATTTGAAATGAATCAAGCTCTATGCAACATTGAACTAACGTTCGTGAATCTCATTGGATAATTCAAAGTCGTTCGCTGATTGGTAGTTAATGATGCTTGAAGTTTAACTTAGCCCAGAGCGGTAATGCAAAGTTACTTGAGTTTGTGCTACTATCTTGAACAGTTGTCTTTCTACGAATATGCTGTTTAGAAATCAGGCCTATATCTTTCGAGGAATTATAAATCAGGAAGCAATAAATGACTATCGGCGAAAACACGTTCAAAAATATCGCCGACTTCGAACGTACCGCCGCCGATACAATGTACGTCAGAAGAAATGTTTTAGCGCGAAATTTTATTTGAAAAGTATATAGAGGTATAACTTACCATTACACCATCATAGTAACAGACTAAGATGCTACGGTCAGCCGGGATGTGCAATAAATCCACTCACATGTATTTGACTTATAATGAGGGGTATCGCGATGTCTTCTTGCAAATAGTATGGGTTATCGTGTTCGTGTCTTAGGAGAAATTATAGTCATCTATTTCTTCGGAAAATGGAAAATAGTAGATTTGTTAGACGCCTCTGTATTCGAAGGAATAAATATTTTCCTGCATTTTCGTCATGTTGCTGCCTTAAACTGTTTTGATATTGCAACATATTACTAGCTAGTATAAACCAGTGATTCTTTGAGCTCGCTTCTTGATTGTAAGGTAGAGGTTCCAGATGAGTTAGTGCAAACAGTGGCATGCACTAAGTGAAATGATGCATAGAAAGAGTTTGGTATTCCTGGATACATTTATTTCCCGATACGAATTTAAAACTAGCTATAAAGGTTAATAAAGCAGGATTTAATGAATTCATCAAATTTCGGTAGAACTCGTCAGCTGAATTATCTGTGTCTATGAAGGATGTAGAAGTTGCACTCCTGACTCATTTTTTTGACGCTTTTATTATTAAACAGCTTGTCTGGAGAGATTTTGTAGGGTTCAGGTTCAAATATAAAACTAAACTAAGTTCACTCAACTGTGTGCATATAATATCATTACTTGCTAGTAACTGAGTCATCGAATATCACTGCAAGGATATATCGGTCAATAATTCATCAATGTTCTGAGGGATCAAAATACTAGAAAGACACACAGTAGAACAGATCTGTCTGACAATGACCAGTATTAGCCTGCATTGAGTAAAATTGACTTCTGGTGTTAATTATGATGAAAATGCTGACAAAATTACACAAATATATCACTTATTTTAAATTGGTACCCAATTTGGAAATAAATCAAGAATAAGATTCGATGCCGTACACACCAAAGTTATATGAAGGAAATCACTTCAAGCTTTATTTTTTTCCCAAGTATTTGTAATCCATCCAACACATACTTTGGTTTTTTTTGTTAATGCGAAGACAATATCCCTATATTTCTTACTGTGCTCCATTGAATGACCAGTTAGCAGATTGTTCCCACAAACTAAAGACAAAAACAGCAACCATGTAATTTCACCATAAACCAAATTTATGGAATTTAAATAATACTTATCCATGCCTCTACAACTGATCTATCCTACACAGATAAGAATGAATATATATATATGATTATTCTATTAGATATGCTTAC